GGCCCCCTCTTTTCTGCCCGGTGCGCAAAATTGCAGTGCACCAAACAGCCAGCCAGCCAACCAACAGCCGGTCGGGGATGGAGCACACAGGCGCACCACGATTCCCAAAGGAACGTCTACTACATCCCCCTCCTCCCTCAGTTTGCTGACCACCCCTACCCCATTGACCACCCCCTCCCTTTTCTGGGGCTCCCCATGGGGAAGGGGAGGGGGGGCGGGGGCACTGCCTCGATCACGTAGAGTGGCGGGCTCGGACGACATGACTTGTACCGCCCAGCCTCACGGGTCCCCCTACAAATTTCCATGTATAATTGTCCATACATGACTGAATTATTTCTACATGTTTTCACACACAATTATTCCACAAAATTTTTTAACGATAACATTATATTATGTTACTTTCCAAACACTTTCTTGCGTATGCTAACTTTGTCACTGTTACTGTTATTTTTTTTTTAGCCGTGCCCATGCCCATAGCGCACCTGGGGTTGCGGCAGAAGCAGCAGCCAAACCGCTCGTAGGGAACTTAGCATGGCATACAGCCCCCTCCTCACCTCACCCACCCCCTTCCCTTCCCTGCGTGCGCAATTACAGAGTTAATATTTAATCGCCGATTACCTTCTGCTGGTTTGGTAATACGTTCATGCACGCCCCCCCCCCCCACACACACACACGGCTGCATCGCAGGCTGCACTACTGCTCGACGCCTAACACTCTGCTAATGAATAAACACACGCGCTAAACGCCACACGGAAACACTATTCGCGTGTTTAAGTAGATGCACAACAGCGCTGCACTGCGTCAGGGGGACACGGCCCTCAACAGGGAACAGGGAACCGATAATCACCAATTATTCTCCCGTGCTTTATTTACGGCTCTGCAGCGCGTTATTTTGCGCCATTCACAACCATCCATCCTCCCTTGCTCTCTCTCTCTCTCTCTCTCTCTCTCTCTCTCTCTCTCTCTCTCTCTCTCTCTCTCTCTCAGGAGAGGGGAGGAGCGCAATGCGTGCGGTACGAGGGGCCCACTACTCTGGAATTCAGGTGGGCAGGCCCTCGAAATAATTTTTTTATAAATGACCAGAATGCACTAAAATCTCGCGAGTTCTTCCGAATTCATTGGAAATCTCTCGAATTCTATCGAATTCACTGGAAACGCCTTGAATTCGTTCGAATTCGATAAAAATCGCATTCAAATACTTGAATTCATTTGAAATCACTAAGCTAGAGAGAGAGCATAAGAGAGTGCAATTGACACAGTTAAAAACTACAGGAAATTCAGGAGGCCCGCCTTCCTCTTTTTTCCCCCCTATTCGCGACTGTTTCTCCGTGAAAACACAGAAGATTTTGTTTATTCAACAGTGTCCATGCGGAAGCGCCCCGCGAGTGTAAGTGGCGATGTGTCGACTCGACGACACGGGCGATGCAGGGCCCCGCCTCGGGGCGAGGGACTCGGGGGGGATCGCACCCGCAGTGCGGCTGCCGCCCTCCCGGGCACCCTACACCTCCTCCACTTCATGTCCCTGCTGCCGACGGTGGTGCACCCCTCTTCCTCCCCCCTACCCTTTCTCCTCTTATCGGCAAGATCACAGGTGCGGATCCAGCCAGAGGAGAAGCGAAGGAGTGGTAGCAAGGGGTGGGCTGTAGTGGTGGGCCGTGGTGGTGGTTGGGCCGAACTGTACAGTCACGGCCGCAAAGTGCCCGAAATTGCCGCCCCGTCTGGCTTGTGCACCGGGGCGGCGCGGGGGGGGGGGGGGGAGAAGGGCAGGCAGTGACACACCCTCACAAATAATACAACAAGGAGGGAGGTTCGCATAGAGCGAGACGCAGACCCTTAAAAATGTCACGATTGCCATTTTCCAGTTGAAAAGTAAAAGAAAAGGACGTTGTCGAAAAATATAAATTTTAAAAACATTTCATTGAAAAACATGGGGCTGGGATGTTCCGAAAAAAAATTCAAAAAATTTCCGGAAACTTTCCAGGACTTCCAATCCTGGAAAAGAATCACTCACCTTCATGGTCTCGATCTCCAGGGTCTCCTCGCGGTCGCGCCTGGCCTGGCGGCCGCGCGCGCGGGGCGCTCGGCCTCGGCCCTCGCCCACGGCCGGCTTGCTGTAGGGCCGGCACAGGAACAGGTTGGAGGTGGTCTTGCCGTCGCGCCGCATGCGGTCCAGCTGCTGCAGCGCGCGCGCGTCCAGGGCGGGCCGGCTCGCCGCCTCGTACAGCTGCTGCAGCGCCGCTGGCCGCGTCGCCGCCGAGAACAGGCCCAGCGTGACGGGGCGCCGCGACTCTTGCGAGAAGTGCGCGTCGCGGGGCAGCGCGGCGAACGCGCACAGGTCGCCCTCCGCTGTAAACAGATGAAAGAAAAACCACAAACATTTACAAATGTGAGCAATGTTTTCCTATACTTTGTAGTTACAGGGGAAATTGTCCAAGTGTGTCGAAAAGTTACATTTTGGTAGTGTAAAATTGCAAGTACTCTGTATGGACTAGCAATTCGTGGACGATACCGACAATATCGGCTGTTGAAAATTTACAATATATATTGTGTAAATAAAAAATACAAATTATGTTGTAAATCATTTACGAAGATATTTTTTTCAGCTTATGGCGGCCGTTTGCACGAGTGTACTGTACTTTGGCACTAGGACTATAGTGACGTTTTACCGCAGCTGGGAAAAGTTTATCAACGCAATGGAAAAACAAAAGGTGGGTTGTTTACACCTTTGGCAGGGGGTGCTAAAATTACGAGTTCTTATGAAGACACTAAAACACATAGTCACATTAACTGACATTTTGTCACACACAATAGGTACCACAGGTGGCTGATAAAAGCCGGATTGGATGAGTTAATT